GAGGAGAAAACAAGAGAGCCACATAAAAACATGAACAGATAGGCAGAGGAAAGGTCTTGTGGAGATAGAGTGATCTTATGAACATCAGAATGATGCAGCTATAAGTTCCAGAATGCGAAGGGATTGCTTGGAGCCAACAAAAGCTGGGAAGAGGCAGGACAGGCCACTGCCCTAGAGCCTGAAGGATGCCTGGCATCATCACTTGTTGTTTCAAACATCTAACCTCCAGAACTGTAAGAGAATACATTTTTATTGTTCTAAGCCACTAGGTTTGTGACACTTGTTATGGGAGCCTTTTGACACTAATACAGCCTTTAATATATATGGAATATATATATATATATATATATATATATATATATATATATATATATATATTCCATATATATATATGTATATATATATATATATATATATATATATATATATATATATTTGTAATTGGACACAATACCTTTATTTTATTTATTTATATGTGGTGCTGAGGATCAAAACCAGGGCCTCGCATTTGCTAGGCAAGCGCTCTACCACTGAGCCATAACCCCAGCCCTATAGTGAATTCTTAGTAAGGAGAGATGGAGTTGGGAAAATTTGAGAGGGGTGATAATTCCAACAGGCAACATTCCATGTGCAATTAATTATTCCTCTGGATTATAAAAAGACTCATGTTTCTAAATTTCTTTTCTTCCAATTGCCTAAAGGTCCTAGGTTTGCCACTTGTTCTGTCTCAAATCTGTAACTTTGCCCTTTCAACATCTTTTTCATTTGGCTTTAAGATAAATACTTCGGTTAGGTGCAGTGGTGCATGCCTTTAATGCCAGCAGCTTGAGGGGAGCTGAGATAGGAGGATCATGAGTTCAAAGCCAGCCTCAGCAACTTAGCGAGAACCTGAGCAACTCAGTGAGAACCTGAGCAACTCAGTGAGACCCTGTCTCTAAATAAAATATGAAAAAGGATTGGGTCTATGGCTCAGTGGTTAAAGGCCCATGTGTTCAATATCTAGCACATAATATATATATATATATATATATATATATATATATATATATATATATCTATATATATATCTATATCTATATATATATATATTTTTTTTTTTTCAGTATCTTCTATTCCAAGAGAACATAATCAAAGCAAAAATAATCTCAACTTAGGCTATTCTGGTTTTGTTTGTTTGTTTATTTTTAGTAAAGATTAGTAGACATCCATGACATTTTTCCCCCAGTTTTAATAACTCCAACCTCTTTGAAATCTGATTTAGGCCTCAATACTCTAAGTATGTGTTATTAATAAAATTTTTTCTCCCTGACAATGTCAAAAATTCTCTTACACTGTAAAGAACTTATCCATAACAAATTTGAAATAAAATCTGGTTTCCATGCTTTTGGCATTCAAAAAAAATGCATAAGTATTTAAGCAACAAAATCCCATGGGAAAATAATTCATGATTAAAAATTAGAAGATGAAGGACAATTAAACTTATTTTATTGATAGGTAAACTAGGATTTTTAAAATCAGAGCAATCAAGTGAAATAGTTTGATACTATAGAAGGAAGAGAGTACATTATTAATGAATGCTATCCAATTGATCAAGAACTGTTATTTTTAAGGATATAAAACAACCAGAATCATATAGAATAAATATTGCTCAACCAACTCTAATATCTGAAGTCTAAATGAAATCTAATCATGCTCACAAAAATATTATAAATTGACAAGTCTCTTATCCACAAAAACAAAAGGAATTAACAACACTGTTCACACTCCATCGATCGGTACTGTCACATTGTGTACACATTGAAATTATATGAATTCAATTCTACACCAGGTAAAAATACATAAATGAACTTAATCTGAAGCCACATCACCCTTAAGAATCACAACCAGCTTATATGACACTACCTGAAGAAACTGTCATCTGTTCTTTCATTGGAAGAAAAACATCCTATTAGACTTTCTAAAAGACAATATGGCTTGTGCAAAATCATGAGATGATCTCTCATGAGTAATATAAAATATTTTCATTGGTAATGTTGATTATATATGATTTTCTACTTGCATAACTATCTTAGAATCTTAACACCTGTTCAAAATGTAATGTGAATGAATGAACTGAGTGTATTTGACATATATTTTACTAAAGGAATAAAAACTCAATTTTAAGATTATCTACATATAACAGGTCTAAAGGAAGGAATGATCACAATTTGAGATTAAAAACAGGAAAAGAGAAAAGATGAGAATTATATGTGTTAAAGTGATACCTAAAAGTCAGAAGAAATAGCTCAATGTGCATTAGCAGGAAATTATTGCAAATGAAAATAAGAGAAAGCAGAAGCAAATCAGGAATTTGATTTATAGAAACCCACTCACTATTGCTTGATCATCTCACATCAAAGAGTAAAGGTAAGGATAAGAAGAAGTCAATGATCAGAATTTATTTAATTCTACCACGCCACTCCCAGAAAATTATTAAGGATTGCATGATTTAATATTCACTGGTGAAGTGAATCCAAAATATTTGTTTCCATGCTTTAACTTCTTTTTTTAACACTTATTTTATTTATTCATTTTTATGTGGTGCTGAGGATTGAACCCAGGGCCTTGCACATGCTAGGCAAGCACTCTACCACTGAGCCACAACCCAAGACCCCATGCTTTAATTTCTTATGCTTTAGCTAAATAATATAAATTAATGTCTCAATTTTAGCTATAATACTTTTAAAGTCCTATTCCAGGATAATCTAGGTCATTTTATTTCATATGTTTTATACAATAGGAGTCAATTAAAGACATTCAATGTGAATGAGAACACAAAGAAAAATGTGTTTCTATGTACATCTGTGTATACTATGTTTTATAGTGCTAATCATTCACACACATATTATTTCATTATGAAATAATCCCATGAGGTGGCATTTGTCACCATTATTTTAGGGATAGGAAAAGTAAGACTTTGGCCGATGATGTAATTTGTCCAATAAAAAAGAGTAAGATGTTGAGTTGAGCCTGAGCCCAGAAGTCTGACTCCAAACCTAGCATTCTTAAACTCAATGATACCGAACATGGAAAAGATGAGATGCATTTCTGATAGACAATCTAATTTACTGTTTGCAATAACTCTTCTCTGTTGACACATGATCCCCATTTCACCAAGACTGAGTCTCAGTAACCTTATATAACTTGTCTAAAGACAGATAGCAAATATGTAACAGGGCTGAAATTAGGATCTAGTATATATTTTCACATGCAGTTTTAAGGAAAAAATAATGCAATTCTTGAAAAATAAAATCATTTTCCTTAATAGTAAACCTAAGTACACTGTTTTATCCATGAACAGACTTGTTAAAAAAAAGTTTAAAAACCACACATTTCTGTTTCAACATAGTATTATACTTTATATTAATAGAATTAAATCTAATTTAACTCTCCAAAATGAAGACTCCATTATTTAGGAATCTATTAATTTACTTTTATTTTAATTATAACTTCTCCTTTATCTTTTCCAGCATACACAGGCAATTGTCAAATATCTTCAGGATGACCAGCATGTCTGTGTGTCAAGAAATAAAATAATACTCCTCTTTCTCATTCTTTTAGCCACATAGCATCCCCAAAAGAGAGTATAATGGAACACATAATGGAATCAGGTAGTTTTTTGTAAAACACTGCTAGGATTCTGTCAGCAGTCATGTAACATTTTTGGCATCTGGTGACAAGGTGGTGCTCTAACAAAGGGAAAACTATCTTGAGCACAAAAGGCAAAAAATAAACACAATTAAGAGGATGATATTTTTCTTTCTAAACTGTCATTCCCTTCATTATCAAACAGCTCAAGTCTGATTCCACTGATCAATATGCCAGGGGAAGGGAATACTACATACAATGCAGAAACAGACACCTAGCTAACACAAGCAATGGCGCTCTATTTCAATGCTAAAATGAAAGGTTTGATACTTCACTTTGAAGATGGTACTCTCAATTTTGTTGAGGATCTTGAACTTGATTCAAAGGGAAGAAAAAGAGGATATATAGTAGTATCTGGTTTCAAGAAAATGGACTGGGAACATCAGCTTATTATATATTTTGGCAGCAGAAATGTTAAGTCAAGATGTTATCCCCCAATCTTTAATGATAAAATCCATGTCCTTCTGCAAAAACACTGAGTCATCCAGACCCAGACATTCATGACAGCTATAACAAATCCTTTACCATCAAACACATGCTGTAAATCTAAATTCTAGAAGTTTATGCACTTTCAGTCTCTTCCCCATACTTTACTGCTCACTAAATTTCCCTTGCCTATTCATCCATGAACAGAGCTTAACCTGGGATATATCCAGCTGGATCTCAGATCCAAAACCTCTAGAAGCCAGAGAGGTGACTTCTAAGACTTGTGATCAGGAAGATGTGAAGGCAGCAAAGGACACATTGTCTTCCTAGTGCCAATGGAGAACAGATTGTCAGGTTGACAGGATGAGTTAAAATGTCCTTTGTCGTCTTTTTTTTATTCATTGCTGTCCCAGAAACTAGATACTTAAAAACAAAATCTCTTCTTTCTGGAAATGTGATAATAAACTGTAGGACTGGTATATGGTTGTTTTATAAACATTTTTGTTACTGTTGTAGTAGTTTGTATATTTGACTTTATGCATGTTTTGAAAATCTGACATTTCTTTGTGCTTTGGTAATGTCCTATTTTATATAATTCCAATATGAAGGCACTTGCAAGGTTACTGGATGTGCTTATTTTTAAAAATTAAAAACAATCCTGTTTTCATTTTTGTATTGTTGTTCACCTGTATACTTGACCATTAATTCAATTTTAATGAAATGACCTCAATTTTATGATTACATAGCTACAATCTGTAAAAAAATTGTAAAATGCTTTATGAATAGTTGATAATTTCTTCATCATCATTATTATTTTAAAAATAATGTGGTGAAAAATAAAGTCTGTCTGGAATAAAATACCACATGGTGACATGAATCTTACTTACCAAACTCCTTGGGAACTGCTATAGAATAAACACAGTTGTGTCCCACACTGTAATTTTTTGGATAGTTTGGGGATAGAACAGTGCCTTCTGAACCTGTTGAACGGCTTCCGCAGGGTGCTAAGAAATAAAAATTAAAAAAAATATTTTTAGAAGATTAAAAAATTGTAATATGAATGTGTTCTTGATATAAAAATATGGCTACTGGATTTTAAGAGGTAAAAATTATTTTCATCTTTTAATAGATTCCTCCAGTGTCAAATATTTTAAAAGTGGTAAAATTCTGCATACATAAAACTTTGTAAGTATTCAATTTACTGTTCTCCATAGCAAAGTAATATCAAATGTTATAATTTTTTTCTCTAAAGAGTAGCCATCCTTTCATATATAAGAGTACAAAAATCAGCATTTCATAAATTATATACTTGCAGCCAAATCTTGAACCCCTACTCAAATTCAAGCACGATTATGCTGCTGTCAAATTAAGCATTTCATACATGGGACGTGATAATTTTATAAATACTTTCACCCATTTTTGCTCCAATCTTTTCTGTTTATATAATTTACCTAGAAATCAAAGGAGTTGTTGATGGTTCCTTGGGACAGACTTATTTTCTACCTCAGGCCCAAATGTCTTATATTCATAAAAAAAGGATGAGGGTGACACTGATGTTTCCAGACAATTGTAAGAAAGTGGTCCTGTTATTCATAAGTCAGGAGATGTATTAGGATTCATACATCTGAAACTCAGAAAGAGACCTGATCTACTAATGGTGATTTATGTATCTATGATATTCTTTAAGTGAATGAGATCACTCAAAATAGTATGGAGAATGAGAAAATATGGTTAAAGAAGAGGTTCTGCAAAGCACCAAAGATCTAGAATTAGGTAAAGAAAGGGTAGCTACAGAAAAAGTCTCTCAGAAGCCAAAGTACAAGAAACTTTCACTGAAGGGGGGAAAAAAAGAGTTCAAATTCAAAAGGTTAGATATTGCAAAACAGTTAATAAATGGAAAAGGAGTCTTTGTTGACTAAGCATCTGGAACATAAGAGAGCTGGATGCATCTTTCCTAAGCCTGTGATTTCTGTGTAGAGGGATTTTCTTAAATGTGTTTTGGCTGGCCCTGCCCCTGGCTCATTATTAGAATGAATGGTGGGCCCTGGAAAGGAACTTCTACTTCTTCTTGTTCAGAGCCATCCTGCCTATAGTGTGTTATCTACCAGCCTGGTCACCCACATTGTAGGTTTTTGTTGTATGTCCTTGGAGGGTAGGGCTGTAGTTGCCAAAATCAGGTTGTAGGAAGTTTACTGTTAGTCTCAACTTTTATCAATATTAAAGTTAATGGTTTGATATCTTTTTGGCTTTGAACTTGTGCAGGAAGAACAGTATCATTTATTATTCCACTCAAACACCAAAAGGAGATTTTGGTGTCAAGAGTAGTATCATATTGAACAGCTTTCTGCAAATTATTGTCAGTGGGCCAAATGAAGCTCATAGACTTGAGAAAATATTTTTATTTATTTATTTATTTATTTATTTATTTATTTATTTATTTATTTTTAGAGTTAAAGACAAAATAAAACTACAGTAGGATATGCAACAGAGATTGGTAAGAAAATCCCAAAATCATTTACAGAAAAAGTTTGTAAACTTTTGGACTAGACCTTCTGAACTAGATTAGAGGAGTAGAAGCTAGATTAGAATATGATAATGAGTAAGTGGTATATAAAGAAATATAAAAACAAACCAGAATCTTCAACTGGGAAGAGAATGAAAGGATTGGTAAGGGGTGGTTTGCAAAGGCAAAACCAGAGCATTGGCCTAGAGATAAGATCAGGAGCAAAAATAGAATTATTAGCTTTGTTTTAATTTTATTATTATTTTTTTTTTGGTATTGGAGATTGGATCCATGGCTTTGCACATTCTAGGTAACTACTTTAGCACTGAATTACATTCCCAACCTTTTGTCGAAAATTTGAGACAGGGTTTTGCTGTACTTTGCAGGCTGACTTCAAACTTGTGATCCTCCTCCTTCTATCTATAAGTAGCTGGAGTTAGGAATTCATTGAAGGTAAAGCTTAATTTTTTTTTGTAAGGGCCTTGTACATACTAGACACATGTACTACCTCTGAACTACATTCTTATCCATTTTTCTTTAACGAGTTTTCAATGTGGTAGTTTGTTAGGTGCCTCAGGGAGAGTTGCAATAGTTTGAAAAAAATCAATCCTTTTAATGAAGTCCTCTTGAAAGTTTAAAAATATAGCAATATTTAAACACAAACCTTTTATATTCAGTAGGGTGGCTAATGAATATTCTGCCCTTTTTTTGTTGTTGTTAATGTTAAATAAAAGAGTATTATCTACTTAGAATTAAACATTCTAAACTTAGAACTTCCAGAAACAACAATTTGACAGTGATGATAATAACCAAAGATGTTTCACTCTCATCACTCTTTATTGTTTGAGATTAAAGTAGTCAGGTGTAGTCTTACTTCATCACTGATAACTTTATTCAACTGATAATGCTACTGATGAGAGAATCATTCAAGAATGAGTAATGTGTTTAATGCCAACTTTCTTTCTGATTTTAAGGTGCTCCAAAATTAAAATTATAATACTTTGAATGTACATGACAAAAACTCTTATTTTTATATTTAGAAAGTATGAATAGAAATGAGAATGTCTAATTCAAGTGCAAAACTGTGACTTACTCATGAACATTCAGCCATCACACATTAGTATGTGTCTGTCACCCTTGATTTGTTTCAGATATTATATATTGCATAATGGACATTTAGGACAGCTGTTACTTCATATTTATAAATCTCATTTATAAATATGAAGGGTTTTTTTAACCATGAATATATGTGAGATTGCAGCTTAATCACATGTTAGTATGGTAATATCATGTCAGATTCTGTTATTTGTATTGGTAACCTTAATTTTCTATTCTGGTCAGTGCCTACAGCATGTATAAATTTATAGTTAATGATACAGAATATTATTTAGTGATCGATGATAATTGTACAGTATGTGATTAACATAAATAAAGGTAAATTATGATCAGAGAGCTTTTATAATCTTTTATGCTTATTAAATAAAAATGGAAAAATGATTGATCTCGGCCAACTTTACTGATTCTCCTAATATTGGTCTCCAATAGCTTTTCATACTTTCACTTTCTATTTTAATACCACCTTAGTGGCTGTAAGAGACCAGCCTTTATCTTTTTTGATCTTAACAAAAATTGGAGGTAAAAGCAATCCCAAACTTTGAACTCTACTCTTATTTTTGCTTTTTGATATATACCACCTATACATTTGGCTCCTATGTCAAACTGGCAGCAATTTTCTCTAAAAAGCGTATATGCTTTATAACATGTTAAACATGATAACTCACATGTTCTTGATATAACATGTGGCACACAAATTCTATATTTTAATAGCATATTTGTGGAGCATATAAATTATGAGAAGACATAATTCTGTTTATGTAAGTGTAGGAAATACAAGGGTTAAAAAAATACCGTTCTTTTTTTTTATGACTGGGTACATTCATAAGGTTTGGAGGTCATGCTTTCTCATAACATGTTTGACCATGGAACATTCTCTTTCCATGCAACATCTCATAGCACAAATGATACCCAGAAGTCACTTTGCAAGATGCCAAATCGATGATTCCAAATTGCGTTACCATTTTGGAAATAATTCTAATGTTTGTGTAATTGATAATAATTAATCATGATTTTGTGACAAAGAACTGTATTTAATGAATGCATATAGAGCCAAATTATTTTAGATATTTAAAATGTCAAACCCAGCCTTCTTATAAAATGCTGTTATTGTTTATTCTCTCTCCCTGACTAAGGGTCCAATCACTGTTCTGCTGTTTATGCTCTCAGGTAGAATATCAGCTTTTCTTTATCTTCGCTGCCTCTTTATCTGTCATCTCCCAACGGTTTTCTTGTGGACTCTTCTAGTAAGCTCCTAGCATTACTCATCACCAAAATTCCATATCACTGCGACTGATTTTTCTAACACACAAACTTTACATATTTTTCTCCCTCCTTTTTAGAACAAAGTAGGTTCTCTATAAATGTCTCTTTGATGGTTAAATGAACTGTGATTGTAAGATCAGAGTAATATAAAATAATGTTCCAGTTAACATATAATACAAATGTTTGATTGAGTTGAAGTTACCCTAGATAAATCACTTAAATTTCATGCAGTATCCAATACATTCTCTCTTGATTTGCTACTCTAATTCACAGTAGCAAATCCATGTTAACATTTTACCAGTCTGAGGCATATCCTCTTTGAGTGATTGAAATCACCCATAGTTTATTGTTTTTAGTATTTTCCTTGTTCTCTGTTTAGTTTTTTTAAAAAATTCTATTTTGAATGAATTTGTATGATTTGATTTGTATAAGTAAAATGCATCCATGATCCAATTAAACTGTATCTATGCTTGTTTTACTCCTAAATTATGCATGCACTGAAACAGTTGATAGATGTGTTAGTTCCAGAGAAATCAGAGCATGAGATGGAATGAGGATTTACGGTTTCTTGTCATCTGAGGAAAATGACTTTCTACTTGTAGTTTGAACAGGGATAAGGATGTGGAATGTAGGAGGAGGAGGACTGAAGACAAGTAAGAACAAAAGGTACATTAGCACTGAGTGAAAGAGAAGACTATCAAACCATTTGTATGGAAGAGATACTACTTGAATGTCTTAGAAACTTTATAATACATGCCACAAACCCTTAAGCTACTTACAATTCTATATCTATCTCTTCACCCATGTAATGTATAATTTATTATCAAATATATACTACATTGAAAATTATTATATAATGTATAAATTATTCTCAGAAAGCAACTGAGGTACTTCTAAAAGTGATAACTTCTTGTAGGTCACAAAAGAGTAATGTGATATATTAAATCAATAATTTACTAGATATGACCTGTGGCTCCTTCAGTTCAAAAGAACTGCTGTACCTTACAAAACTGCTGGTATGCATCTAGTAAATTACTTATGCCCTGATATAACCTGATTTAACGTCACAAATCATAAATCCTAGTAAAGAATGTGTTTGAAAGTTATATCTCCCATGGAGCA